TATAACAAATCTTTTTTATTTTATTTTATTTTTTTTTCTTTTTTTGTGTTCATAAGAAAATGAAATTACAGTGTATCTAAAATGAAATTGTCTCGCATATTGTGTTTATATTATAAAATAAAACTGTAATTGAATTGAAATCATATTTTAGTTGTGTTAAAATGAAACAGTATGTATAAAATGAAACTGAATATCATGTCTCACATATTGAGTGTATATTGTCAAATAGAACTGTAATTGAATAAAAATGATACTTTAGTTTTACTGAAATGAAACAACAGTATATATAAAATGAAACTGAATAACATGTCTCACATATTGAGTGTATATTGTCAACTGAAACTGTAGTTATTATATCGAAATGATACTGTAGTTAACTGTGTTGTAATGAAACAACACTGTATATAAAATGAAACTGAATAATACGAGTTTCACATATTTGAGTGTATATTGAAACCATAGTTGAATTAGAATTATAATTTAGTGGTGTTGTAATAAGACTACTGTGTGTATAAAATGAAATTCAATAACATTTCTCACTGTAATAAGACTATTGTATGTATAATGTCGAATAAAATTATAATTGTGTTCAAATGAAATTATAATGTATGTAAAATGAAACTGAATATGTTATACACCAAATAAGTAGGGTGGTGCTAAGCCTGACCCAATCGAGAGGGGGCGTGGCGGCGTGCATGCATCCTCCAATCTCCATTGGCATGCACACCCTAGGTAGAAAGAAGAAATGACATTTAACACCAACAAAGACTTCAAATGGGTTGTCTAGCTTAGTGCCATGAAGCAAGGATGAGAAAAGATAACAAATTTGTTAGAAATGAAGGTTGTAGGGTGAGGGATATTTGCAAACATGATCATTGTAAATGGCCGGTTTATCTATGGTTCTAGAAGCAATATGATAGATATATTAAGTATGGGCTCGGGGCGAACTGACCCGGGAAGGCCGGCGCGAAGGCCTACGGAGGCCCCGTATGAGGCCGACCAAGGCCTCGGCCTACGGCGAGGCCGACCAAGTCCTCGGCCTACGACCACGGTCGAGGCCTACGTGGGCCTGGAGGCACAAGATGGCCCCGGGCACTCGCATTGATCCGGTCAACGCGTGATCCAACTGCCCCGCGAGAATAGGGGGCGGTTGGGAGTCTTGGCTAGTATAAAAGGATTAGTTAGTGTCTTGCCTAAGGACATCTACTTCTATTATTATTACCACATTTATCCTGTAACCCTTTTACGGATATTATCAATACAAAGTTGTCCCCGCGGCACACGTTCTACATCTTTCCTATCGATTACTTATCGGGTTTAGTGATTCGGGTCTACCCCGGGTTAATTAGATCCATCACAATAAATATAGCCCCTTTACGCTTAAAACCTACAACCCTGAACATAAGTGTAGAGATCAATTTGAAAACAAGACTATTAAGTTAGGTTTGCTAGCGAGTTTTTATAAAGATGAATTCAAATTAAACTCAACCAGTTTTGAGGAAGAACAGAATTCTAGCAGCATGTTAAGAATAAATTCAACTGTAAGTTGTCTAACTATCAGTCTTACAGAGTCAAGGAAAAAGTTTTTGTTAGAAATAATTGTAATTAGATTTTAATGAGTCAAAATGTATTTTAGGTCAAAATTTTAGACCCCTAACTTTACTTTGTGTTTGGGTAATTTTATTTTATAAGGGACAATAAAAATTAGTCCAGAAAAATATTTTAAGTCAAGCAAAATACGAACAAATAATGAAGAGGAAAGCTAGATTATGTAGCAGCTCAAGTTCAAGGACCAGGCGAAGTAAGAAATAAGGAATTTATTAAGCTAAGGGTTCCAAGAGGACAAAGGATGAGCTAAGGTTTTCAAAATGAGCTAAGGTTGTGAAAATAAGTTAAGGTTTAATTTTTAATTGACCAAAGGGCGAATAAATCTGGAAATGCGCTAATCAATTAATGCATTGAGAAGCTAAGGTTTCAAGATGAGCTAAGGTTTCAACTTTAGCTAAGAGCATCCACATTAATGGAATTATTTTAAGAAGTTTTTGTAAGTGTGATTAGGAAATAGAAGATGGGTGGAGAGAAAAAAAAAAAAAAACTAAAATTGATTTTTTTTTTTTAAAAAAATTAAATAATAAATAAACAGAAGGTTCAGGTGCGGCGATTGGCCCGTCGCATGCATTGCACGCGCCCGTGTGGGCTGCTTCGCGCACAGCAGCTGTCCCTCCTTTTTGGCTTCTGACATTATTTTTGGCCCTTGGAGGCCCGCCCCATTCTTTCCCAATCTATTCTCCCCCACATTAGCTATAATCTTGAGCTTGAGTGATTTAATGCAGCATTCTCCCCACATTATTCACGGATGAGGTTGCTCTAAGGATCTGATGAGTCAGTGAATGTTTGGAAGAAAAGAAACAATGAGTTTGAATCACATAGAGAACAAATAATTCTCAATGAGCTAAGGTCTTAATAAACTAAGGATGGGAGTTAAGGTTCAAATTAAATGAGCAAAGGAAATAAGCAGCCAAGGTTTGGACTAAGATTTTAACCGATGAGCTAAGGTTTTAATGTTTAAGCTAAGGTCTTAAATGTTGAGTTGAGCTTTTAAAGCAAGAGCTACGGTCGAAAAGAGAATGAGCTAAGGAAATTAAATTAATTTCCCAAAGAGCTAAAACTGAGATTTGAAGAGTCAGATAGAGCAATCAAATTAAAATTAAAAGTTAATTAGGATTTGAAGAGACGATCAAGAAGACAAAACTAATCAGCCAAGGATTCAATTCAAGAAGACGTACCGTTGAAAGCAGTCAAGATTCACCGTCAAGAATTAAATTCAACTACACTACAATCAAACTTTGCACAATATTAAAAGAATATTACTTGCCAAATTAAGAAAAATCTCACAAAGTTAAAAATAGCCTGACATTTGATGAAGTAGCAGAATTAAAAATTCAACAGAGTTTTTTCCCATTTTGATCCCTTGACTATAGCTCATTCTCAATTTTGCATTCTGACTTTTAATTGAACCCAATGTGATCCCTTGACTTTAAAAAATTACTCCAATTTGGTCCTCCGTTACATTTTCCATCAATCAGCTGTTAAGTTTGGGGGTATTTTGGTCCATTCATGTGCTGCGCGCTTAAACCAATTGTTGTTCATCCCCTCCATCGTTCTTCCTATTGTTTGACGTTCAGAAAAAACTCAAAATGAAAAATCATAAGTCCAAATGCAAACCGCCTGAACTTCTGAGAGATTTTCTCACTCTTTTACTTCTAAACATTACAACATTTAAATTGTCAGATACACATCACAAAATCTTACCAAAGAGATCTGACATCAGCCACTCATTTTCAAAAGGAATGATTCCAGAGTATTTTTCAGAAGATGTTTATGCATACAAGAGAACAGACTAGCAATACATCAATAAGAAGATGGCAACCAGGTAGACTATTTAATTACACCCATCTGACAATAGAACCTTATATAGAACCTTAGTACTACTTCAAATCAAACCACCTCAATAAACAATAAACATGAAACGACCTCAACCAAGCCACATACCAATCAAAATTCAATCCCGTGCATACAAACAGACGGCACAGACATACAGAAACGCAAAAACATACACTCTCGATGCCAGCCGCAAACACTCAAATCAAAAAAGCCGAAGGGAAACGGAATGCTCTTCCACTTGAAGATTAGCTATGGAGCAGAGTAGTAGACGCCAGACGGAGAAGACTAAGGTCGGCCGCCGGTGGAGCTGAGTGGAGGAGACTGGATAATCGGCGGTGGAGAGATAGATAGACGACTGAATCGCAGGGCTGAAGGGCGAAGGATTATATATTAACGCTCTCCTCGTCCCTCAAACTCTCGATGCGGCAAAAAAGCACACGCTCCCCCGCCACCGCCGCAATCCCTTCAAGAATCGGAGATTTCTCCCCATCTCCTCTCCCTTTACCTCCTCACAAACCGAAACAACCCTAGAAATTCCGGCACTCTACAGCGACGGCGGCGGCCCATCAACCTGTTTCGCAACTGGAAACAGCGAAATCGAGTGGAACGATTGCATGTCATCAACCCGTCGCAATCCCTTTAAGAACTGGAGATTTATCCCCATCTTCTCCTCCCTTCACCTCCTCACAAATCAAAAAATTGCCAGAAATTCCGGCACTCTACGGCGGCCCATCAACCTTGTTTGCAACTGGAAACGGTGAAATCGGGTGAAACATATGGAAACGAGACGAGGAACTCATTGTTGTTGTTGTTGCTGTGCAGAGAACTCATAGAGAGACAACAAGCAAATTGTTTGTTGGGGTTAATTTGTGACCGGAAGAAAAAAGAAACGACGGAGAGCGGATGTAATTTCCCAAGGGTGTGAATGTACCAAAATACCCCCAAACTTAACAGCTGATTGATGGAAAATGTAACGGAGGACCAAATTGGGGTAATTTTTTAAAGTCAAGGGATCACATTGGGTGCAATTAAAAGTCGGAATGCAAAATTGAGAATGAGCTATAGTCAAGGGGCCAAAATGGGAAAAAACTCAATTCAACATATCAAATGGATAAAAGTATAAAATTCAAATTTGAAATTGTTTATTTCCAATGAATAATTTCAAGATCACAACTATAAAACGAAATGGAGACTTGGAGGAAGAAAAATACAAGTTACAAAAGTGACAATTACAAGTGGAACAAACACGAGAGAGCAAAAGTAGTACGTTATATTCTTCTTACAAGTTTTACCTAGAGAAGAGACTTAGTAATTTCAAAAGATTCATTCTTCTGAAAGTTTCTAAGAGTTAGAGAGAAAAAAGATTATTTTTCATTGTAAACACTTCTCTACTGCGTGTAGATAGAGGAAAGCAGCAGGAGTGTGAAATCTTAAGAGATTAGTTTTGACTTTGTAATCAAGGCACTACATTTGAGAGATAAGAGATTAGTGCTAGCTGGCTTTGTGATCAAAGCACTACATTTGATATATAAGAGATTAGTGCTGGCTTTGTGATAGATCTAACAATTCGTATATACGGGTTCGTTAACGGGTCAACGCGAACACGATAATGCTAAACACGGACACGACACGTTAAGGTTAACATGTTCAAATTTTTAACACGAACACGAACACAATTTGTTAACGGGTTATACGGGTTGACACGATAGACATATTTTGTTAACAGGTTTCGTATCGTGTCAACACGATATGACACGAAACCCGTTTAAACTCGCTAAACCTATTAATATATTTTTAAAAAACTAAAATTTAAAGTTAAGTTATATATATAAAGAAATAAAACCTACAATTCAATCCACCAAACAAACTAAAAAAATATTCAATTTATAACATTTATAACATTCATAAATGATAAAATAATATCCAAAAATCATAATTAAAGAAGTCCATACTAATTTTTAGAATAAAACTGAACATAATAAAAATTCAAATTTCAGATTGTTGAATATCAATAATTGGTGTAGGATCTTGGTGTAACGTAGTAAATTCATCATTAGTCATGTTTATAATATCTTTTGTATTCTCATTCATGACAATATTTCTTACTTAAATGACAATGGTTCTTAGTGGGTTATAAACAGGTTAACACGATAATATTAACTGGTTAAACAGGTTCTTAATATAATATGTCTAACGGGTTGACCCGTTAAGACACGAAACATAACTGGTCCTTAACGGGTCAATCTATTAATGACCTGAGACACGTTAAAGCTAAACACTAACTTATTATTTTCGTATCATATTTCGTGTCGTGTTAACGGGTCATGTGCATATATAATTACCAGGTCTACTTTGTGGTTAAGGCACTACATCTTTGGAGTTAGAGATTAGTGTTAGTTTTGTGTTCAAGGCACTATATCTGAAATTTGGGATCGGTACTGGCTTTGTTACTAAATTAAAGCACTAGATTGTCTTTCACTGTATCTTGTACTTAGGTGATTAATATAATGAATTCTTCCAGAAGATAGGAGAAAAGTGAATTAGAAGAATTAGATACACCTTTGAACTACTATAAAAAATTTCTCTCTCTACTTTATTTATTGCTTTCACGTACGTCATGAATTAAATATTCTCAATCATCTAAATCTTTAATCTTTACACTTTACATACATTTACTCTATTGTTCATTCTAAGTTATAATTTGCTTTTAAGTATTGAATGTCTCTATACTTATTCTTGCTATTCTTAGACTTAATCTTTAACGTGTTAATTTTTTAAATAGTTTGAAAAGTCTAGCTATTCACCCTTTCTCTTAGACTTTTTACCATCCAATCGGAACCAATTAATAGCTTTGAAGCTATTGGCCGGCTCTGAAAGAAGATACCAATTTAAGCTATTATGGGATTACTGTAAAGAGATCAGATTAGAAGAACTAACTCAGGTTCAACAGTTAGGATGAAGTTAGATACTGATGATAAAGTGCAAGGCATGTGTAGGTTTTTAAGGTTGTATATTTGTTTTGCAACAACCATCAAGGGAAGAACTTGAAAAAAAATAATTAATAATAAAGACGTAATGCAAAGAAATGATTCGCTAAAGAAGCATTAGACTTACAACAACACTGATTTCAACAACAGTCTATAGACAATAATTTTTAATCGTTGTCAAAGTGGGATCTTCAACTATATCAGATTTAACAACAGTTCATAGACAACAGTTTTTAACTGTTATTTTGATATATAAACTTAAACAGTCGTCTTTGAGTGTGACTTACAACAACACCGTTATCTAATTATGTGCATATTTCTTGTAGTGTGACTTAATATGAGTTTCGGTCTTAACAAATTTTTATAAATAAAGACGTATGTAAATTTTAAAGAATCTATTAATTCATATTACTTTTAAATAGTGTCGAGATTGAGGACATGGTGTCCACTAAGAAACCCGACTTTGTATTTCTCATAGAAACCAAGGTTGACCGTGATCATGCGGAGCGTCTTCGGGTTAAACTTGGTTTTGATGGACTTTTTTGTATTGACAGTTCTGGTTTGAGTGGTGGATTAGCTCTGTTGTGGAGAGCGAATAATACAGCGAGATTGGTTAGTTATTCCACAAACTATGTGGATGTTGAGGTGACTATGCCGGGGTTTGAAAAGTGGAGAATGATTGGCTTTTATGGCTTTTCACAGAGGGGTCAAAGGAGAGACTCGTGGGATCTTATTCGTACCTTAGCTGGCAGATCGAATCTACCGTGGGTGATGATTGGAGACTTTAATGATTTACTTTATCAATCTGAGAAGCGGGGTGGAAACCCTCATCCTCTGAGTTTATTGCATGGGTTCGGTGAGACTATAGAGGAGTGTGGATTAGCGCAGATGCCAATGATGGGATATCCGTTTACCTGGGAAAAAGGAAAAGGCACACCGAATTGGATAGAGGAAAGATTAGACAAGGTTTTGACTAGCCAGAGTTGGCGTGAGAACGTACCGGATGCTAGTGTGCAAAATATATTAACCCGAAAGTCCGATCATTCTGCTCTTTTCCTTGGGATTCTGAATCTTTGGGAAAGGACGGGTGGTCTGAGAAGAGGGTTTTTTGAGATGGCATGGCTGCACCATGAATGATGTAGGGATGTGGTGGAGAAGGCATGGAATGAGGGCGCAGGAAGGGGGTTGCAGGAATGTATCTCTATTTGTGGAAATCGTTTGTCGCGTTGGGGAGGAGAGCGTTTTCATAAGTTTGGTGAACGGATCAGAAACCTGCGGAAGGAACAATTGCATCTGAGGGGGTGTAATGATCCGGTCTCATTAGCTGAGTTCCAACGATTAGAGGAGTGTCTATGTCGTATTGAGGCCCAGGAGGATACATACTGGAGGCAGAGAGCCAAGCAGCATTGGCTTAAGAACGCGGATGCTAACACGAAATACTACCACAGGTATGCATCTCATCGCAAGAAAAAGAATACTATTTTAAAAATTATGAATGATAGTGGGGATTCGGTGGAAGGTGAAGCCATGAGGAATGTTATCTACAACTATTATAAGACTATCTTTACCTCCGACTCTCCAAGTGATAGTAGGGAATTCTTTGGAAATATAGCCTCTCGGGTAACACAAGTACAGAATGAGTTGCTCTTGTGGCCCTTTGATGCTAGTGAGGTAAAGAGTGCTCTATTTTCAATGTTTCATAACAAAGCACCAGGACCGGATGGTATGAATCCGGATTTCTACCAGCATTTTTGGGATGTAGTGGGTGGTGATGTATTGGCCTATATTGTGAATTGTCTTAATACTCGCTCGTTTCCAGCTCGCCTAAATGATACAAATATAATATTAATCCCTAAGAAGAAAACCCCTGAGATGGTCTCGGATTATAGACCGATAGCACTGAGTAACGTGGTATACAGGATTATGGCTAAGGTTATAACTGCCAGGATGAAACCGCTTATGGGGGATATTATATCTGACACCCAAAGTGCTTTTATTTCTGACAGGCTAATAACAGATAATATTTTGATTGCTGCTGAGGTTGGACATTTTTTGAACAGAAAACAATGTGGAATCACAGGATGAGGGGGCTTTGAAACTGGATATGGCAAAAGCCTATGACCGAATGGAGTGGCCCTTCTTGTGGAGTATGATGTTAGCATTGGGCTTTGATGAAAGGTGGGTGGATTTGATAATGCTGTGTGTGACCTCAGTTTCATATAGTATTCAGGTTGGTGGAACACGAAGTGACCAGATCATGCCGACTCGTGGATTGAGGCAGGGTGATCCACTATCACCTTATCTCTTTATTATTTGTGCTGAGGGACTTTCATTGCTACTACAGCAGGCACAGTTGAGAGGAGATCTACATGGGTGCAGAGTAGCTAGGGGAGCCCCCCTATATCCCACTTATTTTTTTGCAGATGACAGCTTACTCTTTTTTAGAGCAACTGCGCAAGAAGCCAGTGTGGTAAAATAGTGTTTATCGGTGTATGAGGAAATGTCTGGGCAAGCAGTGAATTACTATAAGTCAAGTATTTGCTATAGTAAGAATACGCGGGATGAACACAGAGAGGAGATTGCCAATATTTTGGGAGTGGTTCAAGCTCCGAATTTTGGGAAGTATTTAGGACTTCCATCATTTGTGGGCAGGAATAGGAGAGCAGTTTTCTCATATATTGATGATAAGATTAGACAGCGGATTGGGTCCTGGAATAAGAAATTGCTTTCACAGGCAGGTAAGGAGGTCTTATTGAAAAGTGTGGCACAATCTATGCCCACTTTTTCTATGAGTGTCTTTTTACTACCTATGAATACTTGCACAGCCATTGAGAGAGCTATGAATCGTTACTGGTGGAGATCTAAGGATGATCAGGGCATCCATTGGAAGGCATGAGATAAATTGTGCATCCCTAAGAAATATGGGGTATTGGGCTTTAAGGAGTTGCATGCCTTTAATTTAGCTATGCTGGGGAAGCAGGCCTGGCGTTTACTCACCAAACCTGAATCATTGGTTTCCAGAATATATAAAGCCAGGTACTATCCTAAAGGGACATTCTTTGATGCTTGTATAGGGAATAATCCAAGTTACTGCTGGCGTAGTATTATGGCTGCACAGGAATTAATTTGTGGGGGAGTCAGACGCAGGATTGGAAATGGGAAGGGAACTCTTATATGGGATCATCCATGGCTTCAGGATGAAAATAATGCGAAAATAATCACTGACAAACCACCATACTTGGCGCAGGCAACTGTAATGGGATTAATAGATTAGGAAGCGGCGGCCTGGGATCATGATATTTTAACTGATATTTTCATCCCGGAGGATGTGACACGAATATTGAAAATACCTGTGTCACCAGATTATGAGGATATGTGGTATTGGCATGGTGATATAACAGGAGAATACTCGGTAAAAAGCGGTTACAGGCAAATAGTGGGAAATTATGAACAGACGACATGGATGTTTGATAAATGGCCCAAATTATGGAAGCTCAAAGTACCCCCGAGATGGAAAACATTTTTATGGAGAGCCTTGAATAATATATTGCCCACAACAACGAACCTCATTATAAAGAGAGTGGAGATTAGCCCAACATGTGCTATGTGTGGGATTATGCATGAGAATGTTATGCACTCTTTGGTTAGAT